CGGGGGGAAATTTCCCGTGCTGGCTGGGGGAAATAACGCGGCGTTCGCCTCCTCCTTGTCAGTAAATCAAGTCGCCGTGACACGTTACGGAAAAGCAGCTCCCGCAGCGGCCGTTTCCCAACTATTTGGGGCCGAGTTCTGTGGCTCCTCTGTAATTTTCCCTTTACAGTACGTTAAGCTTTAACGCTTGGAGCGGCTTGAAAGCGAACCGGCCGAAGGCAGGGTGTCAGCAAGGTGTAACGACTCGTCTCCAGAGTAGTTTGAATTAACGTTGCATTTGGTATGCAAATATAGATGTGTGCACGTAAGCCTCCTCCTTCTGTCTGCTGGGGAAACTGAGGCACGGAGGTACCGCAGCCAGCCCGGGGCTGCCCCTGCCCGCAGGGATGCTCTTCCCATCCCGTTCCCAGCCTCCAGCTGCCCGAACTGGGCCAACTGTCTTTTGTTCTTCTGTTGGGCTGGTGGCCAAGATGCCCCGTCAGCTTTCTGCTCGGTATTTCTGTCGCTCCTAAAGATGCTGGGGCCAGAAAAACTGCGCTGGGACAAAAAAAATACCCAAACCCCCACGCCCGGTTGGACATCTCTCCAGTTCAGTCACATTCGCTCAGGGTTGGGCAGCAGCTGCTGAGCAGAAACGCTCACCCGAGCTCACCCCAAATGCTCCAAGGGAGGTTTTACATCGAGCGGTGAGGCTTCAGGGAAAACGTGGGACTCTAGGGCTCCCTTCTGGTCCTTTCTGGGTGTTCTGGTCCCACACGTGGCCCTGCTGGGTGATGTTTAAAGCATCCAAAGCTGCTGAGAGCACAGGAAAACGCAGCCGGCGCTGGCAGCAGAGCCCGGTGTGGGGCTGGGAAGAGCTCCGGCGGTCGTGGCACGCTCGGCCGGGGACATGCTTGGGCAGCGAGGGAGCTGGCTTAGGTCAGAAAAAGCAAACTGCCACTAAGCCGGGCTGGGGAAAGAGACCTGGAGGAGGGGGAGAAGGAGAAAAAAAGGCTTCAGGGCCAGGGAGACAGTTTTGTTTGAAAATTTATTGAAAAATGCAATACAAGAAGCAAATACCGAACACTTACGTCTGTCTAAAGGCTACGGCAACTTTCCCTTTGATTTACTATGAAAGTCAGCCCCCATCGCTAGTCAATCTATAAAGATTTGCCAATTTTAAAAGTTCCTATTTTTATAAAGAAGAGTGTAAACAGCTAGCCTAGACAATTCACAATTGCCTTAAAAAAATTTTACAAAGCTCCTTCATATTCTCAACTAAATTATTTATTTATTTTTTTACAAGTTTCATCTCTAAGGCTGGGACACTACCACCTCTTAAGGTAATTATACAATTAGGTAAATCAGCAAACCACAGTTTATTAAAACCAGAAATCAGTCAATCCTTTGCTAATACATCTGTGGTGGTCAGAGATTGCTATTTGGCAACCAGAGCTGCCGTTTCAGTTTTAATGGAGGAGAACATGAGCTCCTTGCCTTCCTTTCTATAAAAACATTCATTCATATATAAATAGCTTCCATATAATGCATATTATACAATCAAGACAGTCTCTGGGTGAATTTGTGAAGTGGGAAGAACTGGGAACATTCATATAAATAGACCTTACTTAGCTGGTTTGTCCCTAGAAATAACACAGCACGCTAAGAGCCAAGGATTTAAAAAACCCATCGGAGGTGGAAGGGGTGCGGGGAGTCCCGCCACGGCCCCAGCTGAGGATGGAAGAAGCTTCTTCTGCTCTTAATTTTTCTCTTCTCCGCAGGCTGCCGCTGCTCCTGCCCAGCTCCCAGGCTCGGGCGCTGCACGCAGGCGGCTGGAGAGGGTCAGCAGGGCTGGAGATCCCTCGCAGGCTCGGACAGCAGGGTGATGGCAAAGGTCAGACGAGGCGGTAACTTGTTTAAAATACTCAAGGAGAAGCGAGAGCTTAGAAAGGGGAAGTGTGAGAATGAACCACCTGGAAACAGCCACCCAAAATCCAGGGAAAAAAAAAAATTAGAAGAGGGTTATTCTAGTCTGTGGGCCCGTAAAAAGGGACGTACGCAGCCATGGGGAGCACATCCTTTTGGAAAGGAACTGCCTCTCGTGCCAGCAAGTTTTTCACCCTAGAAATCCCCTGCTCAGGGTGTTTTGTCCTGCTCATCGTGCTCAGGGCACAGGCACCCCAACTGAACACCCAGGACCAAGCTTCAGCCTCGCACCACATTCCCCGAAATTCTCGTGACAGCCAAGTGCCTTTAAGTGCTATGGACAAACTTAATTTAGCGTGCTGGCTTTGTCTGGTACAGCTCAGAAATCCTCTCCATGACTACTCGGCATGCCCGTTTACTCCTCTGGTAGCTGCTCCAGGGTGAGAAGGAAGGACTGAGGGGCAAAAAGCTAAATTCCTAGGAAAGGGACATCGCTGGAGGGATGCTCAGCATGATGGGCATTTAAGGCAGCTAAGTTGAGTACAGCAGGGACATAAACCTGTTCAAGGATCTGCACTGCAGAATAAGGAAGAAAAGGGCCTTTCAGACATAAATAGGAAGACTTACTTAATCTCTACACTACAGCTGTGGAGCTGAGGACTCTCTAAATCCCCAGAGGAGGATGCCTGGTACCCAGTGGAAGGCAGAGCATCACCGAAGGGGACCACACAGCCTGAGCAGCAGCTACCAGCATGGGAAGGCTGGAGGCTGAGAAGGACCCACAGCCAGCAAGGCTCGAGGAAAGCAAAAATCCAGCAGCTCCAGCGTTTTCAGCATAGTCTCCGATCAATGCTGACAGCTTAATTAAAATTGCACCTGAATGTGAGAAGCTACACTAGCCCCAGTGTAGTTTGAAGGCTCTTTGCAGCTAAACAGCAAGTTGTTGCAGCCTGAGCTAAATCCAGTGACTTCTGAAACACATTATTCAAATTTCAAATAGCAGAGAGCTTTTTTTATTGCCATTTTCTTCCCATCCTTGACTGAGGAGCAGCAGCAGAGCACTCCATGCCCTCAGCTACCAATGTGCCACACGAGAGAGAGAGAGATTAAAAAAAAAACAAACCCTAATCACAACCTCAAAGTGTTCTAAGTGTTCACAAGTGTCTGGGCAGACTCTTTAGAAAGTTGTTTTTTCTTCTTTTTTTTTTTTTTTTTCCTTTTTAAATTTAAACGCTGGAAGGAGAAACCAGGGCATGATTAAAACATTTCCACGAAGCTCAGAAAGCAGCAGCAGGAGCTCAGCCCCAGGTGCCGTGGAAGGAAGCACATCCACTCCCAGAAAAGATGTTTTCTGGTCAGCTCCACCACGCCAGAGGTGGCCCCGGTGGTCTGTAAGCTCAGCCTAAAGATGCAGACACTAACTCTGGTATTTCATTCCAGCAAGGCAGTCACAAAGCCAAACGAAGTACAGCGTGGAAGAGGGGGTGGCAAGCACTTTCCACGTGGTTTGGCTCTATACCTGACCAGCAACACAAGATTTCTTGTTCAGCCTCTCCAAATACAGCTTCCAGGCCTAGGAAGGATTGTCTAAAGGATTTTAATTAAATGATAGTAGGTTATATGCCCTTGTATATGGGCAACATGTAGCTTTAGCACTGTGAGGGGAGAAAAAAAAAAAAAACAATCCATGACTTAGAAAAAAACACCCCTAATTTAAAAATCATGAACACAAAGAAGTGAAAAACTATGACACTGAAAAAAAATCAGTTACTGTGAATGCTGCATAAGCCTACCTTAATAGCATTCCGAGTCCAAACACCTTAAACGCACACTTCTATGGGCTTTTTAATTTAATGGCATCTAGAAAACACAAACAGGTAGGTAGCACTCGGCAGAGACACGTAGGAGGAAGGCAAGGTGCTATCACAGTCCTCTTAAAGCTCTAAAATTCACAGTATAAGATACTTGAAGCAACTTCCAGTATTCCTTAAATCTAGTCAACTATTAAGATGTGTGCACAGGCTACACCACAAAACCCTACTGTGTTCACACATCAGGGGCCAAACCCAGCGGGGAGGAAACTCGGAGCGAAGGCAGCAGCTCTGCTCTGCACGCCCAGGTATCATGGCCGGAGTTTCAAGCTCCCTAGAGCTAAAAAAAACCCAAAAAATAAAAATCAAGAGGCAATCGGAAACGCTGCACAAAACTGAAGTCTGACTTTTTAAACTGACTCTCCCGGCAGAAGGACCCATGGCTTTCTGAAGGCGCGTACGGATCCCGCACTCGGAATATGCACGGATGTGGCTTATCTCCGTTATCCCTGACGAGGCGGAGGGAATACGACTTAAAACAGCGACCCTTTGAGCCCTGCGAGGTGTGTGGGGGTCTGTATCTGAAGAGGCTATGCGTGAGAGGGAATGCAAAATTGAAAACCTGTAAAAAATATTCAGTACAGTTAGAAATATGGCATACTTTTGTCACGATATATAAAAAAAAAACTCAAAACCCTATATCCAATAGGATCCAGTGGAGTCTGGAAAATCCCAAGTAAAATGTCAAAGCGCAACTCCTAAGAAATGATACGAATGTCTCTGAGCGTCAAGTCTTGTAAATCCGAGGTCTTTGTGCTCCAGGTAGTTTCTTGGTAGTTTTGCTGGGTTTCTTTTTCCTGGTGTTGTGTCTGGCAGGAACGCTTCCTAGAAAGAGGGAAACACCGTAAGTTCCGGCTACTAACAGCCAGCTTTCTGGGAAAGAGAGGAACCTGCTTCCCTGAAGCCACAGGAGAACCGAAATGGGGAGATGCGCTACCATCAATAGCAGGTGTGAATTCAGGCTCAGAGGCGCCTGGCACAAGCAACACCCTCCTGCCATCCCTGAAGGACCACATTTTAAGAGCTGCAAGTCCAGGAACCCTTAGGAGACCTCTGCCACTTTTATTTAAGTTTGGACAGTCAGAAAGCTCAACCACACTGTCTGTTAAACCACGCAGTCTCTCCTCCCGCCTAACAACTCCTTGATCCCGCTCCCCAAGCTCTGCAAGCACCAGCTTTGCTGGGATGAGGCAGGAGATAAGCAGGGCAGCGCACAGCACTGACTTGGGCAACACCAGCATCACCGGCGCAGGGCAGGAGGGGCTTTACAGCGCCGACGCACAGGCAGAGCTCCTGGATTCCTCAAGCAGCTCTTTCCCAAGACCATCAAAACTGTAGAAAAGGGATCTTTCCAGGAAAGCCAGGAGCCTGGGGTCCAGCTGAGGGGCTACCGGGCACTGGTAGAGGCAGGGGTTTACATGAAACCTATAGCTCAGTGTGCTGCTGGTGCATCGAAGGTGTTTGGCAAGGCAAAACAGCCTCATCACAGGAGCCACGTAGCTTCTTTTAGACTTTTCTGGCTCATTTTCACTGCAGGATTAGTCTGTGTTTGTGACTGCTTCACCAGCCTTAGATGATTTAATAGGAACAGCCTGAGCAGGGCTCATCAGTAATAATTTTACTTAAACTTTGACCGTATTTAGCCAAACCTCGCTTGCACTGAGATCAAGCCCCCTGCCCTGGGAGGGGAAAGCAGCGCCCGTCACTCACTTGTACGTGGTCTCCCTACTTACACGGCCTCGCTACTCCTCTGCGATCTCGGTCTCCTGGTGCACAACCACTTTGGTCACCGACATGTCCGGGTGCTGCTCCTTCGCTGCCTTTATCGCCTGCGCTAGAACCTGAAAGAGACGACGTTTCAGAGCACGTCCCCGAGGACCCTCGGGGACAAGAGACTATTTCTAACTCTGGGGAGAGAAAAAGAAAAGCGATTCCACTTCAGCAGCACAGTTTGGTGACTTTTGGTAGTATTAGATTATTCCTGAAAGGAAAAGCTGTTTTCTAAGAATACACTACATCTCTCCACTGCCCCATGGTAGAAGATGGATGAGAACAATTAAGCAAACCCTGTTTATTCTTCCAGCAAGTGTGATGAGAACATTTCAGACATCTTCTCAGACATTTTCTGTTGGAATTAATAAACTAGTTCTTGTCGTACAAATATTCTCCAGCCCCATGATACTTCAACTAAAATTAAATTCAAAGTATAATTCTCTGATGACAAAATCATCACTTCCAACACACGCTAGAGGCCAATGAGGCTGACTCATCAGAAAGGTTTTATATAAAGCCAATGAGATTTAATGCAGGTGCTGAGTGCTATGAAACGACTTCTGGCACTATATGGCAGCAATAGCGCTTCAAAGTTACTAGGCATTTAATGCAGATCATCCAGATGTCAAGGAAACAATTTATTTCTCTTTTTTTTTTTTGTGTGGATTTTTTTAAAAAATTGCATTTGGCCAAAACAATTCTGGAATCAAAACTTTGCTGCCAATACCAGTTTCAGAACAGAATTAAGCTTTGCTGGCCTAGAGGTCCATCCTGCCAAAAAGGAATTTATTACTGCAGTCAGTTTTCTTTCTGCCCCAGTAAAATTTCCCTAGGTTGTTCTCTGGTGAAGTTGTCTTTGGAACGGCAGCCTGACTGTCTAGTTCAGGCCAGCACTGAGCAGCTCTTCCGGACCGCATCCAAGCTCCTACCTGGTCGTGGTCTACATCTGCATCTCCCGTGATGACAATCCTCTTTTCAATCCGTGTCTCTGAAATGCCACCTTTAACAGTCTAGTACAAAGGAAAAAAACTGTTAGTCTAAAAGTGAAAAGGAATTCGAGTGCGCTGGGGCTGCCTGTCTAAAGACGGTATCAAAAACAGCGTTATCAAATACTGCTGTCATACCGCAGTATCAGAATCATGGGGGGAAACTGCCACTGCTCTAAGAAAAACCGTCAAATACTCATTTTCTGATAACTGAGCTGGAGCAGAGCTTTGTCTCACAGTACGGTTCTTTCCCACTGTCCCACAGGACAGTCAGAGCCCGTGTCCACAGACTGCACTGCACTTAATACATAATCCACAGTCTTAACGCAGGCAAACCTGGGACCCTCGTGCTTCGCTGCAGGTATTAATCAGATTTTTTTTGAAAGGAACTGGGGTTTAACCTTTTTTTTTCTGTTATTCAACTCCGCCCCTCTCTCTATCATGTTGTTGTTTTATCGTGTTCCCGTGCCGTTACCTTCGTGATCTGCGTGGTGGTGGTGCTGCTGGTGGTTTCCGAAGTGATGGTCTGCGCAGTCAGCAGGATGCCAGGGTCTAAATCCCCATTGCCACCGTCTGTCTGTGGGACAGAACAGGCCGTCAGACTCCGTGGGCAGCGTGGACAGACACAGGGTCTCCACACCAATACAGCAGGACGCAATCCGAGGACAGAAACCCCAGCGGGGGCCGGGGGGAGCCGATCGGCAGCCGGCCGAGCTGCGCCCAGCTGCGCAAGGAGTCCGCAGGTCTCTGAAGGCTCGGCACAAAGCCCATGGGCTTTAAGGCTGGAAATGCAGGGATCCACAAAATCACCCAGGCAGGACCTATGACAGCGCTCATGGGCTGGGATATACCCAAATCTGGGTACACTGCGACGCCGGTCATGCTCCTCCGTGCCAAGCTGCATGCTTTGGACCACAAAGGGAGACCAAGGCAGACACCTACCCCGAATTACATCTGCCTGGATCCGTGGAGGCTCACAAAGCCAGAGAGCACAATCTGACTGAGAAGGTACTTGTTACCCTTCCTCTCTCCTGACAACACCGTGCACATCACTTGCTTTAAACTCTGCAGAAGCAAGTCCATATACCTGCTGAACTAGGAACAACTTCCTTTATAGCTGGTTACTTGGTTCCCATCCTGCACAACTCCACCTTTCAAGGTCTGCTGAAAAACCTAAAATAAGTCATTCTGCCAGTTCATCCTGGCCGTGCTGTCCGTGTCTCCGTTACGGTGCACCGCTAACGAACGCTGGGCAGCATCCCCAGCACGGTGGTGGGACGATATCTGGAGTTACCACAAGGTGGGACCATTTTCCACAGACTGGAAGAAACCTCATGGCACATCACAAGCCGAGCAGACTTCTCCCAGCCCCAGAGCCGCGCTTTGCCTTTTCATTTCCCAGTTAGAAACAGCCACAGCAGTAACTGGAGCAGAACTCCTCTCTATTCATCCATCCACTCGCTGAGAAACAGGGCGATGCTCGCCACCGCCCAGTGCAGGCATGCCTGAAAGGCCCCTCTACTCCTGCAATGGGGGACGATGCTGAGCAGCCACGGGATTCCTCAGAAATCCCAAATTATACAACTGTGGTCCATGGGCTACATCCCACAGTCACTGCACTCCAGCACCAGAGCATGGGCTGCTTCCAACAACCACAGTTATGACAAACCCAAGCTAACAAAGGCTCCAAATTGTCAAATACATCAATAAAACCTATTTTAGACTGAGGATTAATTTTAACCTCAGTAATGAAACCATACCTGCATATGTTGGTAGTGCTCCACCAACATTTCTAGTTTCCAATCACCAGTTACCAACTTTGGTTGCATTTTATGTAATACTTTTGGTTTTCAACATCTGTTTCAGGGTTGAAACCTAAAAGACAGTCTAATAATTTATAAACCAAGTTCTGAAGAGCTAGGAAAGCCAGGGAAGGCAAGAGAAGGCATCTCCTGCAGAAGAAAGGTCAACTCAGGTTAACTCTGTACAGCCTAATCTACATCCCAAAGCCACCAGCGGCTGAAGGTAAATTCTGTTTGCGCACTTGAAAAAATAATTAACTCTTCAGGGACAGTAAAAGCACTGCTCCTCTGAAAATACCAAATGCACCTGGAAATAGCGTCCACAGCATCAGTGAACTTCTGCGCTGCGACTCAGACGCTCGGAGAAAGGCAGGTGCTGCTGTCTCATCCGGAGCATTCAGAAACAAAATACTTACTTGAGTTTAATTAAGGCCCTGCAAAATTAATCAGAACACACCTTACCTGTGCAGCTTCGTAGGTGATGGTCTTTGTCTCCGTGTGGACGATGGGGACTTCTTTCGTGGGAATTTCACTTTTGACGGCGCTGGACACGTCGGAGATGGTGACTGTCTGTGTCTTCACTAGCGGTGGCTATGAGACAGGGTTAAACACATCTCCGTAAAGACCCAGTTAGCATTTCCACATCGTGACCACGTTGCTGGCAAATGTTCTGACACTGATCTGATAAAAGCACTGTGGGAACCAAGGTCAACCTAGAAATCTTTGGTTTTAAGCCTCTGGTACGACACACTGCTCAGAGGGCAGAGATCATGTGTGAGGATTAAACAGACAGAAAAATCCTCCAGACCTTCACCGAACACCGTGCCCTCAGGTCAGCCCAAGCGAGGCATTAAGGGTTTAACCGGTGTGTCACAATACCACGAAGAAACTGCCTCCACTGATTATTAACTTTCTAATTACTAGAAGCTCATTGCCTGATGCCAGTAAAAGATGACCCTCATCTGCTGATGACAGTGTCAAGACTAACACAAACCTCGGGCAAATAAAGACTTGATCCCAGCTGAGAAGCTTTATCCTGACTGCAAGTGAAATACTATATTATTTAAGAATCCTCATCAGGTCCTACGTCTTTTATTAAATCAATGTCAGACAAAACAGAAACATGACATCTCGAAAGAGAAATGGGGGGAAGAGAAATCAGTTGTTCCACCACCTGATAATTATCCAGAAGACGGAGTTAGTTCAGACCCACAGTGTGTTCCCAGAGGGCTCGATTTCTGCTCACCATCCCCAAACCTGGCAGATGCCACCGTGATCGTTAGCAGGGGAAGTGGGCACCTATTTGACTGTAAGCAATTAATATCAACACTGAAGCTGGCAAAAGTATCTCCAGCGGTGGGGAGCAGAAAGGGGCCATCAAAGCCCACGTTCACGATGTAAAAGCATGTTTGACAGCGCTTCAAATTTGCTCTGCTGCGCTAAGGCTCAGCCTCCAGTACAGCAGGAGACGGCAAAAACCTTAAGGAACTAAAATTACATGCCTTTGGAGCCTAGATATTTCCCTTTTGGGGGATGCAACAGGATGCTTTGATCAAAGAAAGGCAAAGGGCGTTGCGCTGCGGCAACTGTACCTAATGCAGAGATAAATTGAGAGGGGCTTGTCTTTAACGCAAAGATAAATTGAGGGGCTTGTGTGCGCTGACTGCGGGAGATTAACCGGCTAATTAGCTCCAAGCACGAGTCCAAGCCAAGCAAAACTCCTCTCTGGGTCCGTGGCATCTGCGTGCTGCAGTGTTTGGGTTCCCGCTCCAAAGCCAGCCGGGGGTGTGGGGAGCAGGCGCGGGGGCTCACTACCTGGAAGCAGCGAATGACTGCCGGCAGCCCGTTAGCAACATCCGAGTCGTGACACTCGCCATTTAGCTTTCTAAAGGCAAAGCTGTCTTCGCCATCCTCTGCCACCTCCTCCTCTCCTCCCCAGGGCCGCCAGGGAGGTGCGGCAGGGCTGGCGGGGGGCTCCGGCTCAGAGAGCTCCGAGTCCTTCTCCGCATCCGCACAAACCCCCTTTCCATATCTCAGGTCCTCCGCGCTCGCGGGGAGGCTGGGAGCTGCCGCCGCCTCCTCCTCCTCGCTGCTTAGGGAGGAAGCACCAAAGTCACGGCTGGGAGAAGGCTCTGAGGCGGGTGGCACTGGGGTCTCACTAAAAGCTACCGACTGCTTTGAGCCCTCCCACGCCAAGCCAGTGTTAACACTGCTCCTCTCTGGCACTGCAGCCACATCCTCTCTGGAGAGAAAGTCACTCATTTTCTAAAAAGAAACGAATACACAAAAAAGGCCAGAGAGAGAGAGAGAGAGAGAGAAAGAGAGCGTTAGGGAGAACAGGAGGTCATGAAGCATAAAGGCAAAACATCGGTTTCTTATAATACATCACATCTCCAGTAACGCATGCAACAGCGGTGGGTTCGGACACTTGAAAGCTTGAAAACCTTTGTGCTGTGCGGTGTATCCAGGGCATTTATTGACACGGCCTTCCTGGTACATTAGTAATTCACTCTCATACAGTTTAAGGGATTAATATTAAAAACAACTCTCTGCACCTAAAGGAAGAGCCACCACTAAGCACTTTTGGCCCAGTTTGGAAACAGGAATAATTTCAGTGTAGCAAGTGGGCGCTTGTGCATATCCAAAATTCACACGTGCAACAAAACCCACGGACTACACCAAAACCGTACCCCAATTCTGCCTTTCACTCCGGGAAATATTGCACGCTGGGTTTTAATTTGCACATGGAGGTGAAGAGAATAAGCCCAGAATTAGTCTGTACGATAACCCGCAGAGCCTGTGCCTTGCTCTCTTCCTCGCCCCCGGGAACGCTCACACCTCTGAGCACCCTCTTTGCTGTTGCAGACTCCGGGATAACAACCACAGACTTGTTATTATGGCATTGATAAAATTATTGTAAGAATTTCTACAAGTTAGTATTGAAATCAACTGCTTCAGTTACCGAGAGGTTACCGAATTGACAATGCAGTTTGGTCATCTGAAAGAATTTCTATTATTTCTTCTAGACAAACCAGTTCAATTAACTTGCACAACTTAGCACAAAACTTTTCAGCTGAGGAAAAAAGAAATGTGGCTTTAAACTGGAAAGCCAGATGTTCACGCCAACGTGCGCTGACCCATTGCCACCAAGCATGCGGTTCCGTCGACTGCTCAACAAGCTGCATCTGACCATTTATTCGGGACTACCGAAATATTTGTAGCGTACTTTATCCCAAAAGCAGTTGGCGCGTGGAAACCTTTGCAGTAGCTAAACCTCCTGAAAGTAACAACATAATTGGCATTAATGATGGCGCGTGGGAGAGAAGACACGTAATGAAGCAACTCAGCCCTCCGAGAAGCAAGCAAGCATGTCTCGAGCATGCGTGCCAAGCCAGAGGGTTTAACTAAGGCTGGTGCTATTCTGCTCTCCGTTCAGCTCGTTAGCAAGGTCTCAACTAGGTCTTCTCACATCTCTTGGGAGCCCTCTAGCCAGGAGGGAAGCAACAGTGACAGAAGAGAAGAGAAGAGTTAAAACATGAACAAGACAGAAAGCTTTAGCAAAAAATCAGCCGTTTGCCCAAGTACCCGAGTAATGAATATTTCATATGCGCAGAGAAGCAGCATTTCAGTCACCAGCGGCGAATGATGGCTGCAGTCCTGCCCTGTGCCAGAAATTGTGTTTTTCTCATTATTGACGTGGAAATTTGCCTTCAAGGAAGGGCAGAATAAGCGCTTACGGGCACCTGCATTTTTACACATACCGAAGTTGTCACATCACCCAGCATCGGGGAACAAGGAGGGGAAAAAACCCAGAGGGAAGCTGCTTAATCAATGCCATTACTATTTCTTTTCAATAATTAACTTCACAGTTGATTTCTGGTAACTTTGTATAAAAAAAGCCACATATCTGTTCATCCAAAAACAGTGATTAAATTTTCATAAAAGCATAGCAAGTCCACTTTGTCAACCGTTACTCTAATTGTGGTGGTGATATTAAGATGAACAAAAACTGTTGCCTCGCTTTCTATTAAGAAGATTCTCTAGGCAACCAAAAACTGTAATTTCTGCTTAAAATGTGAGGTCTGAAGCCTGTGGGTTGTCTGGTACAATGCATTTTCTGTACGCTAGAGACTTTCACCCTGGTTGACCTCATCTAATGGCACAGTTCAGCAGTACATTAAGAATAGGAGCTGCTTTATGTAGGAGCAAATAGATGCTTATTTTAGTATCATTTCAAGAAATGACTCTTCCTCCTGGCTATTTTTCAGTTCCCTGCTTCTTTATGTTGCAGATCGATTACCTAGAAGATTTCTATCCATTAGGACTTCCAGCCTCTTGGGTTTCTCTTAAGTTCTTGGGATATTGCTTAGGAAAATGCATTTAATGGGAGTGAAGGGACGGCCATCAGCACTGGGATGATCAGGTCAGACTGCACACACAGGGAAGTGTTATTTCTGATCAAAAACCACTTCCATACGTGCTCCTCCAAAGGTATATCCAGATCCCACCCTCACTTTGCCTAACGCAAGATACTACACCGCAATATTTCACGAAACAGAATAGGAACAGAGGTTATCGGCTTCGATCGCCCATATCTTAATCTTGCTTTAAAACCTGAATTTATATACTGATCTCTCCTTAATTATATACGCTAAATCTTGCAAATTAATCACAGGATCTCGAGAAGATGCAGTACATCTTCTGGAGTTTAATGGAAAGTGTCTTAGGAGCAAGATTTCCTTAAATACCAGCTGGGGCACTACTTCAACCAAGAGGAAGAATGAAACCCACATTTAAACAGATAAAACAAAGCAGATTAAGCAACTAAACAAATGCAGATCTATTTAAAAGCCAAACATTTGTATCCAGTCAAAACAACTTCCCGGCTCCCTTTCGTATACAGAAAAATAATTTGCATTTTGGAAGTATCTTGTATGTTAAAAGCATAAGGGAAGGGAAAAGCTTAAATGAAGCCTATGGCATACATATACTGGTCGTCAGTAGAGCCAAGTGCGGCCATAAACATGCAAGCTGTAAAGACAGAGCGAAATCCTGATAAGATCAACTGGTCAGAAGCACCTTTTTTCTTGCCTTTCTATTCCACTAGTAAGAAGACAGACTAATTGAAAGGAATCTCTTTCTATATAAAATTGTCTATTTACACACACTTTTTTTTTTTTTTTAAGAAAAAAATCAATGTTTCTTCCTCTATATAAAAATGCGGTTTGCATGTAGGCTAGAAAAGATTATCTTTTTATAAATAAAAAAAAAACCCAAACCAACACACACCCCCTCTAGGAATTTGAACATCTGTTACAAATTCTGATCTTATCAAGATTTATTTTAATTTGCAAACGCAAAGGCATTCC